AACTATCCTATTTGACAAGGAAAATGGATTATGGATTTTTTTTCTCCTTTGTTGCAGGACACAAATCAGTGCCAACATGGTTCATTAAAGTTTATCCAATATAAGTAGAGCTTCTTTTCATCTAGCAAGCTGGTAAGAAAATGTACAGAAGGGGCGCCTGGGTGGCTCAGTGGGTTGGGCGGCTGCCTTCGGCTCAGGTCATGATCCCCGGGTCCTGGGATCGAGCCCCGTGTCCGGCTCCCTGCTGGGTGGAGAGCCTACTTCTCCCTCTCTCTCTGCCTGCTGCTCTGCCTACTTGTGCTTTCTCTCTCTGTGTCAAATAAATAAATAAAATCTTTAAAAAAAAGAAAGAAAGAAAGAAAATGTATGGAAGCCCCAAGAAAAGGGTTTTGTGAAATGGCACAGCTCCATTTAGAAACATGCCAATTTTTTCTCCTTTTTTTTTTCTAAAGATTTTATTTATTTATTTGACAGAGAGATAGACAGAAGAGCACAAGCAGAGGGCGTGGCAGAGGGAGAGGGAGAAGCAGGCTCTGCACTGAGCAGGGAATCCGATGCGGGACTTGATCCCAGGACCCTGAGATCATGACCTGAGCCGAAGGCAGACGCTTAACCATCTGAGCCACCCAGGCGCCCTTTTTCTCCTTTTTGAGAAAGATTTTTTTATTTACTCATTTGAGAGGCATGAGTGGGGGGCGGGGCAGAGGGAGAATGAGAAGCAGACTCCCTGCTGGGCAGGGAGCCTGATACAGGGCTTGAACCTAGGACCCTGAGATCATGACCCTAGCCAAAAGGCAGATGCCCAACCCACTGAGCCACCCAGGTGCCCCAGAAACATGCCAAGTTTTTCAAACTGAGCTTTCTTAGGAAAAATTCCTAATCTTCCAGACAGACAGAAGTGAGATGCACTTTCATTTTATCTGGCTTCATACTTGCATTCATGAGAATATTTACACACACACACATAACCACTGTGGCCTTTGTGTCCTAGTAAGTTCAAAGATGCAAATGAAAACATCCAATTCCTGTTCTTTCACTTACTTCTATTAGTAATAAAGTCTTGGGCACTGTTAACATTTTGCAGTTTGTTGCCAACATTAAATATGGAAGGAAATGATAAATATCCTTTAGAGTGTATGAGCCAAGAGCAGGCCACCCCAAGTTGGACTATTTTGGCATGAAGATTATTTTGAGTCAAAAAGCAATCCATCAGGGCTCCTGGGTGGCTCAGTTAAGCGTCTGCCTTTGGCTCAGGTCATGATCTCAGGGTCCTGGGATCCAGGCCCACCTTGGGCTCCCTGCTCAGTGGGGAGTCTGCTTCTCCCTCTCCTTCTGCTTCTCCCCCCTAATCCTGATCTTTCTCTCTCTCAAATAAATAAATAAAATCTAAATTTAAAAAAAGCAATCAATCACAAGCCAGCAGATTCAGGAAAAGTTCTTTACCCACCTCTCAACTGCCTAAAAGAATTTAGATGGAGGACCTGCTCCAGGAAGAGAGCTCTCACTGTAGATAAAACTACAGTATGATAAGAACTGGGTATGGTAGATGGGGAGGAACCTAGCCCTCTATGTCCCACTGTTTCTGAATGCCCCAACAAACCTGTTTACCAAACATTTACTCTCTTTTTTTATGTTCCAGTAAATTGCATTCCTTTCCTCTGAAGTCCCAGACTCCTACCTCCTTCTCCTTAGTTTGGGTGAACATATATACCTCATTTTGCCTGCCTGTCTTTGGAATTTCCATGTCTGAGTAGATTCCCCATATGTATGCTATTAAATTTGATTTTTCTCCTGTTAATGTTTCATGTCAATTTGATTTTTAGTCTGGCCAAAAGGACCATGAAAGGGACAGAAATTCTTGCTCTCTGACAAGAAGTTAATGAAAAATATAAAATTTTCTATCAGGGTTCATAGAACCCATGAAGCTAAGAGGACACTAGACCCCATATTAATAAATTTTGCTCAGGAATGAAGGTAAGGTGTTAACAAAAATCTGCCACTCACATGCATAAGATCAGTCCATAAACAGTTCTAAACGGTTTTTTGAAAATTTTCATTAGCCACTGGGACTTTTCATCTAAAGCATTATATTAACAGCAATATTGTGAATGAAGCCAGAATTTTAGTGACACTGATCTATGCTTGAACCTCAGCTGGGCTCCTTGATGGACACTTCACCACCAGGGTGTTGTGAGGGCTCCATGAAACGATCTAAGTAGAAGTGGCTAGCCTCGTGTGTGGCACGTAGCAAGCACTCAGTAAATGCTGGTTTTGTTCTTTCCTTCATCTCTTTTCCCACCAGCAATTGGATGTGTAAGGGTGATTTCCCTCTCCACCGGATTTTTTAAACGATCATTATCTCACACTCTAGTCTCTATACACCCTCTGGAAAATCATTGCTGCCCCTGGGAGCCCAGGAACAAAGTAGCCCGGTTTCTGATGCTATGCCAAGGTCCATTCCCCAAAACAAAGGGCAGCATTTAGAAGCACAAGTTAAGAGGTTGCTCATCTGTGGTATCATCAAGATCTCAGTTACCCACCCTGAAGCCAAGAGAGACCATGAATATGAGGACACAATGTTCCGCTTTCTCCTCCCTAGAGTGGGGCAAATGGCATCTATGCTGAGTGGATGGCCATCTTATCATGGAGTGCATTAATTTGGGACTCTGTATCAGTGAGATAGTGGATAGTGGTATCATGTGTTGTTTATCCTTCATTCATTCCCTCCTTCATTGAGCCATCATATGTTCAGCACATCATCACGTGCCAAGCAAACTGCTAGGTCAGAATAACAGAACTTAGTAACCATCCTCATGATTTACATTATGAAACCATAGAATGTTATGGCTGAAATCTAACATCACAGATAAATGCCTTGCTAAAGATGCTGTGAATTACATAGTAATCAACCAAAGGTCTCCAGACTCCCAGGAAAATCCTCTTTCCATTGTATCACACTGCCTCCAGTAGTTCTAATACTTATTCTTTCCTATGTCATGCTAAATTAAGAAAGAAGTTGTTTTCAAGAGAAAATTTGATGGATAAGGTACTGGGGGAAGATGAGGAGTAAGTCAGAGGACCCCAGTGTTTGGGTAGAACTGCAAAATTCCACAATCCTAACTGGAAATAATCCAGTAGAAAAGAGATTCAAAACTCAGTGGGCCGGGGGAGATGAACCAGGAGAGACTATGGACTCTGAGAAACAAACTGAGGGTTCTAGAGGGGAGGGGGGTGGGGGATGGGTCAGCCTGGTGATGGGTATTAAAGAGGGCATGTTCTGCATGGAGCACTGGGTGTTATACACAAATAAAGAATCATGGAACACTACATCAAAAACTAATGATGTAATGTATGGTGATTAACATAACATAATAATAATTTAAAAAAAACTCAGTGGGCCTTTCAGAAAGCCTCTGCTAAGGAAGAAGAGTAGGCACTAAAAACCAACTGCAGTTTAACCTATCATGTCCTTTGCTTCTTTTGCTATGATTTTAGAGTCATTCTCTTTAAACAGATAAAGCAGAGAAAATGGGTGACAAATGAAATGCTCCGATAGCCTTGTAAACCCAAGCACCAAAGGTTCAGGGCTTTGCCTTCTTGATAAGCCTCTGGAAAGTCATGAAAAATGCCATCCAGTTTTTAAGATTCTCTCCTGCAATATGACAGAATAGAAAATTAGGTTCAGAGTCTTGTTCTCCATTCTACAACCAATTCTTTTCAAAGAAACCAATTCCCTGTCTAAGGCTTTTGGCTCTCTTCTTAGGCAAAGATGGGCTCCACACTCTGAGTGGTGATAGAAAAAAAACATTGTAAACTCTGTGGCATTTGAACTAAGACCTATGTCACCCAATCCTCACCTGATGTCTAAAAATGTCAGACTTGATATGTTTTAATGAACATATTGTTCCTACAAGAAAGAACATGCCATTAAATTAGCGCTGAATGGAAGATTCCTATATTCCAGCCAAGGTGCCATCAGCTCCCTGACAGGTTTAGGAACCCTAGAATGCCAGGACTGGCCAGAGTTTTACCCATGGTGAACCTTAACTGAGTTAACTTTTGTAGAGAAAGATACCTAAATCATAGAAAAACCAGCTGGTTCACAATATAAATTTGGTAAAGATCACGTTGTGTGATAATTCTAAGGGGGATTTCATAGCCCTACAGAATAAACAGTCTCTGGCTGTGGAGAACACATTTCTGCTAAGGTGAAGTAGTCCTGGGCTGAGAATCAGAAGTTCTAGGTTGAAAGCCCAGCTTGATCATAGATTAAGTCTCTTTCACTCTCCTGTTTCTCACCCATAGGGTGAGGAGCTACATGAGCTTTCCTGACTTATACATTGTCCTACTTTCACACATGGGACTGTGCCTGGAACACAAAAGTTCCCAGTAAATGTTTGCTGAATGTATGAATAAATCTTTAAGAGGCAGGGGCGCCTGGGTGGCTCAGTTGGTTAAGTGACTGCCTTGGGCTCACATCATGATCCTGGGTTCCTGGGATCAAGTCCCGCATTGGGCTTCCTGATCAGCGGGGAGTCTGCTTCTCCCTCTTCCTCTCCCTCTGTGCTCTCACTTTCTCAAATAAAAAAATAAAATCTTAAAAAAATATCTCCAAGAGGTATTGAATCAAGATGGTTACAAGTGTGGCCTCCACTCACTATGTAATCATGGGTAAGATGCTAGACCTCACCAAGCCTGTTTCCTCCTCTGTAAAATTAGGATAAGAATGATAACATCATAACTATAACAATAATTACTATGAGAAAGATTTTATTTAAAAAAAAAAGCTTAATGTAAACCCCCAAATTTATTAATTATCATTATAATTTACTATGGGGTAGAGAGAGAATAAACTTGAGCTTCCAGAGGAAACCTTGTGTGATTGGTTCCCTTTAGGCATGAATAATCCCTGCCCTGTGATGAAGGTTTCATCCCTATAACCTGAAGAGCCGTTCTTGCAGTTCCTGGCTTCTTCCTGTGCAAGGGACTTCTGGCTCAGAATGGACAAACACTTCTTGATGGTTTTCTTCCTTTTCTGCTTCATTGTAGGTGAGTCACAGACCTGAGAAATGGGCTCCAGAGACAGGCTGTAGGGAGCCCCTGGAAACTCTACAGGTACCGTAGGTACCCATGGAGGGCTGAGCCTTGACCATATTTATGAGGGAGGGGAAGCCATTCCAGGAGAGGAACCAAAGAGCAGAATGCCCCTGAGCTAAGGTCCCTGTGCATGCAGACAGAAGAGGATGGGGGACAATGAGACAGGAGGAAGAAGAGGAGGAAGAAGGAGAAGAAGAATACCCCTGAGCTCAGGTCCCTGTGCATGCAGACAGAAGAGGATGGGGGACAATGAGACAGGAGGAAGAAGAGGAGGAAGAAGGAGAAGAAGAATGCTCCTTCTGCCTTATGGGCCATCTTTTCTGACCTTCTCAACATTCTGCCATTCCTCACCAGGGGCTCAAGCCTCTACGGCTGCCCCTTCATATTCTTTCTCCATTTTGTCTCTACCATTCCCTATAATTCAAAATCCTAGCAAGATTTTTCTGAGGACATCCTTTCATCCATAAATCTGTATCCCATCTGCTGACAGAGCTGGTCAGTCTATAATGGATAATTTTGTAGCTTCTTTCAGTGCCGGACAATGGCTTTTGATACCCTTATCAGGGACTTTATATGAAAACAAATGATTATAGGAGAGGAAATATCGGATGCTCTAGAATCAGAGGTTTTTGTTTGTTTGTTTGTTAAATGCTTCAGTCGCTGTCTTAAAATCTCTGTACCTTTGGTTGCTCATCTGAGAAATGGGGAAATACAAAGTTTTGTGATGATTAAATCAGATACAAAGTGAGAGAACATGGCCCAATGAAATGCTTGATAAAAGCTACTTTCCTTTCGCATTTAGGTGCACCAGGGAGAGGTTTTTTGCTTATTTATTTCTTTTATTAAACCTGTATTTCAGGGGCACCTGGGTGGCTCAGTCGTTAAGCGTCTGCCTTCGGCTCAGGTCATGATCCCAGGATCCTGGGATCAAGCCCCACATCGGGCTCCCTGCTCAGTGGAAAGCCTGCTTCTCTCTCTCCCACTCCCCCTGCTTGTGTTCCCTTTCTCACTGTGTCTCTGTCAAATAAATAAATAAAATCTTAAAAAAAAACCCTGTATTTCAATGAGCTCACCCCACAATACCACATAAAATGTCACTACCTACGTCCTAATTCATAAGGACTTTACATATTCAGTTCGAAGTTCAAAATTACAGAGCATATTACCTAACAATATCTAAGCAGCAAATGTGAGCAACACTAGCTTGGGGTAAAATATTTTCAAGCACTCACCCTCATTATTACACTCCCACTGATCTACAGTGCTGTCAGTCAGGTAGGCTAGGCCATCATTCATAGAACCATTTTAAAACTGGAAAAACCAACGCCATGGAGGCTAAATCACTGCTCTAAATTACCCCAGTTAAAAGGACTGAAATAGGGACCAGAAGAATCCTTTTCTTCTCACAATGGCATTTCTCTGGGATAGGAAGTTGGTAAGAGCTCCCAACTCTTTACTACCCACCACCAGCTCTTCATCCACACCTTGCACCCCGCCCCCACCTCCCACAATCGGGTCTAGATAATTCCAGCTCCTGGGAAAGTCCCCCTGGTCTCACTCACAGCAGCTCTCCGCTCTCCAGCAGTGACACCACTGAAGTGCATGACGTGCCACCTTCGCACACGGACAGATCGTTGTAGAAGAGGCTTTGGTTCCTGTGTTGCCCAGAAGTTCGAGTCATGCATGACTTTAAAGATCTTCCAGGGTAAGTTAGAGGGTCAGGGGAGGTACTGTGAGATTCTTGGAACATTCTTAGGAGAGTACTTCAGCAATTTCGTATCTCTGCTCAGGGTAATCCAGGAGAGGAACCAAAGAGCAGAATGCCCCTGAGCTCAGGTCCCTGTGCATGCAGACAGAAGAGGATGGGGGACAATGAGACAGGAAGAAGAAGAGGGGTGTTCTATATTCCCAATAAAACTGACCAAACAGATCTGAACTCTGCAGACACTAAAGCACTAGTTGCTAATCTTCTACCAGGAACAGGAATGAAGCAGCTATAGAGAATTGAGGGTTGTTAGGGACCTCAGGCAAACAACTATGAAGGGGGTCAGTGATTTCTGCATCTCCCTGCCTCCGTCCTTTTGGTAGGTATAAGCTGCAAAGCCATCCCGTAACCTATCCTGATGCCTAATTAAATTTTCAGACAGAACTAGTGCCAGGTTTGACCTGTCTTTACAGAACTTAGATCACTGGGTTATTTTCTATGTTCCTTCTTATTACAGATGACATTCTGCAGTTATCATATATGGTGTGTCAGAAATTCTGCAGAGACTTGACCTTTGATCTCAACAATCGGACTTATGTTCATAAATGTTGCAAGCACAATTTTTGTAACCTCAAAGTCTAAAATATTGGCCCTCCTGAGGTCTTACTTTAGAATGTTGTCGACATTTCTCCCCCTTCATGCTCTGCATGCCCTTGCTTTCCTGCCTTGTCCATCTTCGACGTACGGCAGCTCTCTTTCCTTCAGTGTCATCCTTCCTGGTGCCTCCAGCTTGGTTTCTACCTCAGTCAGAGGATAATGATCCTGAACAAGAGATTTCTCTCATGACAGGGAATGGCATTTCCATGCTCCAAGAAGCCTGTCCCAAGAGGCTCAGTACAGCAAAATTTAAAAACATGACTGTTCTCAAATCTTATGGTTAGCTTAAATTAGTCAAGGCGGACTAGAAACACTTCAGCTGAAAGTTCACAGATATTTGGATCTAAAACTCCCATTTACTGTTTACTAAAATTAAGCAGAAATAGCAGCCAAATGGATGGTGGACACTTGGTATTTTCCTCTATGGACATATTACTTTCCCAAGTGGACCGTGTTCATTTCAAACTCAGTTATGGCTGTCTTGGCCTTTGTAGAGTACATCCATATACAGTGTCCATACAAATCAGAAAATAAGGAAATCCCTGGCTCTGTGATAGTCACAGCTCACACGCAGCCACCTGTAGGTCTGTCAAGATGTGTACTCAAGAGACATCACAACTCTCCCTTCTTCTCCTTCCTCTCCTAATCTTTCTCTGTCCCTTTCCTCTTTTGCTCTCCACTTCCACTATCACCTCCCCAGCGACCCACACCATTGCTGTACAAATTCTCCCTCTCTGAATACCCAAGTCACCTTATGGATACCTTTTTTGACGCTCTCTCTCAATGAATCATTTCTCTGTTTGTCTTATTTGCCCAGTATGTTACAAATCACAGCAAGAACAGATCCCGTGTCTTACTCATTTCTGCTGCCTTTAGTGGGCCAGTGAAAGTTTACTGTGTTTAACTGAATGGCCACTGATGTTGATGAAATTTTTCTTGTGCATCTATTTAGTTTGCAGGACTTATGATGCTTTTATGCTTTTTCTGGCTGCATACCTATTTTCTTGAGTGTATAGGAATGGTAATCTCCACTCCCTACCAAACAAAGAATGTTCACTATACTATGTGTTTTCCCTGAAGGGATTATGCAAAAGACATTTCTTTTTATGGGACCCTTCAGTATTCAAATATCTTTAAAGTTGTTTTTTTTGTTTTTTTTTTTTTTGACAGAGAGAGAGCAAGGGACCACAAGCAGGGGGAGTGGCAGAGGGAGAGGGGGAAGCACTTTCCCCGCTGAGCAGGGAACCTGATGTGGGGCTTGATCCCAGGACTCTGGGATCATGACCTGAGCCAAAGGCAGATGCTTAACTGACTGAGCCACCCAGGCACCCCAGTATACAAATACCTTAACCAAAAATTATTTTTTTAAAGATTTTATTTATTTATTTGTCAGAGAGAGAGAAAGAGCACAAGCAGGGGGAGCAGCAGGCAGAGGGAGAAGCAGGCTTCCCACTGAGCAGGGAGCTTGATGCAGGGCCAGATCCCAGGACCCTGAGATCATGACCTGAGCCAAAGGCAGACGCTTAATGACTGAGCCACCCAGGAGCCCCACTAACAATTATTTTTGATGGGATTCTTCCAAAACTTATTAGCTAATGTTACTTCAAAATTCATAATCAATACTACTATTATAAAATAGAGGTGTAAGTTTAGAAAGGGTAATCTGACCCAATTCTATTGGAATATCTGAAGGCACATGTTTTCCTAGTTTTAATGATGTCAAGATCGATCACATAGATATTTTTGTTCTCAGATTTATTTTATACAAGATACAGTTTCCCTTCAATCTTTTATCTGACAATCTTAGTCTCCATTGATTATTATTAACTAGATCCAACATTCATTATGAGTTGAAATATAATTATTTTATCTTCTTTTTTTTTAGAGAGGGAGGGGGGAGGGGCAGAAAGAGAGAGAATCTTAAGCAGGCTCCACACCCAGCACAGAGCCCAAAGTGGGGCTCCATCTCACAACTCTAAGATCATGACCTGAGCCGAAATCAAGAGTTGGATGCTTAACCGAATCAGCCACCCAGGCACCCCAAATTACTTTATCTTCTTAATTGAAGTATAATTCATATATAATAAAATAAATATATGTTAAGTATACAGTTTGATGTGATTTGAGAAACGTATAAACCTATATAACCACCATCCCAGATAAAACACAGATTTCCATTAACCCAGTGAGTTTCTTCAGGTAACCACCCACTCTCAAAGTTATTGTTCTAACTTCTATCATCATAGTATAATTTTACCTGTTCTTGAATTTATGGACGTGAACAAATGAAAGAATACGAAAACTACTTTCTTGAATCTGGCTTCTATCACTCACCAGATATTTTTAAGATTAATGCATGTTTTTGCTTCCACCAAGAGTTTGTTCTTTTTTTTCCCATTGTATACATATATAATAATTTATTAAATCAATTCTTGTATTGATGGACATGAAGTTGTTTTAAGGTTTGGGTTATTGTAAATAAAGCTATTATGGACATCCTTGTAATAAGAGTTTTGGTGGACATACACATTCATTTCTCTTGAGTAGGTAAAAAAAGTAAAATTTCTAAGTCATAGGGTAGCCATATAGGCATATACATAATTTTGAAAGAAACTGCCAAATAGCTTGTGAAAGTAATGATACAAATATATAGTTCTACCAGCACTGTATGAGAGTTCCACATACCTCCCATCACCAATTATTATCAGTCATTTAAATTTTAGCTATTCTAGTGGTTGTAAAGGATATCTTGCACTTTCCTGATAATGGAATTCAGCCACTTTTTATGCCCCAGTTAGAAAATAATTTATGCAGGTTTCCTTCTAACACTTACATTTAAATTAACACTCAAATTCTCCATTTGGAATTTATCCTTGTAAGAAATTGATCCAATTTTATGTATTTCCGCATAGCTATCCAATTAGCTCAACAATGTTTATTTAAAAGTTTATATTTTTTTCAACTAATTTGAGATGCTCCTTTCATAGTACACTGCATTTCCATTAGCACTAATACTAATTCTGGGTCCTCTACACAGTTAAGTTTTTCTATCCATTACCTCTATCTTATAACATGCACAAAGACCAAATTCAAACTGGATTTTAAGCTGAATATGGAAAGTACACAATAAAACTAGAAGAAACCATAGCATGCATTTATAACTTTGGAAGAGGCAAAGGTTACTTACTTAAACATAACCTAAAAAGCAAACCATTTTTAAAAAATGATAAATTAGATCACATTAAAATGAACAATGTCTGTTCGCCAAAATGCATCTCTAAGAGAGTAAAAGGCAAGCTAAAGACTTACAGGAGATATCTGCAATACTTATATCTCCCATAGAACTTGTATCCAGAACATAAAAATAATTCTTACAAAAAACTGAGGGACTTTATCACCACTAGACCTGCCTTGCAAGAAATGCTGAAAGGAGCTATTCAAGCTGAAATGAAAAGATGCTAAAATGGCATCTTTGATTAATGGCATCAATGGCATAAAAACATACAAAAATATACAACACGCTGCTATAGGTTAATACAAAAGTCAGACTTAAAAAACTCTAGATGGTATGTTAACCACTTAACTGTAGCACAAAGGGCAAAGGGAAAAGCATTCATATAATTGTAGCTACTATAATTTATTAATAAATACACAATATAAAAAGAGGTAAATAATAATATCAAAACAAAAAAGGGGGGGAGTAAAAGGGTGGGGCTTTTGTAGACAATCAAAGGTAAGCTGCTATCAGCTTAAACTGGACTGTTTAATCTACTTGACACTTGATCTCACCAATCAGACTCATGTGCAAAAATGATGCAACTACAATTACTGTAACTTCAATAAGACTCAAGCACAAAGCAAAAACCTATAGTAGACACACAAAAGCTAAAGAAAGGGGAGACAGAGCAAACAACCTCGGAGTTGGGTTCCCACGCCTGAGATACAAACACTCAGTCACAGGCTGGGTGACCACAGAGTGCGGATGGAGACCAGGGAGACAGAAATGATTGACTGGATTTCCCTGAATGCAGGCTGAGGAGTGGGGCCCCAAGCTCTTGGCTCCAGGGATGGAGAATGGGAGGCCTCCATTTTCATTCTCATCCTCTAAAGCTGCGTGAAAAGCCTTCAGGGAACAAAAGCTACATAGAGCAATCGGGAGCAGATTAGTTAGCCTGGTCCCCTGGCAAAGGCAGTGCAATTCCACCAGGGGCAAAGACATCTGAGAATCAAAGGAACATGCCCGTCCCCCAGAAGATCAGCAAGAACATGCGGCCAAGACCAAGTTTACCCCTCAGTGAGAACTGCAAAACTCCAGCACTAGGGGAATATTGCATATAGAATTCATGGGTTTTTTTCCCCACGATTCTTTAGTCTTTCAATTTTAATTTTTTTCTCTTCCGTTTTCCAACCAATTTCTTATTTTATCAACTCTTTTTTAAAAATCTTTTTTTTTTTTTTAAAGATTTTATTTATTTTTTTGACAGAGAGAGACATAGTGAGAGCAGGAACACAAGCAGGGGGAGTGGGAGAGGGAGAAGCAGGCTTCCCACAGAGCAGGGAGCCCGATGTGGGACTCGATCCCAGGACCCTGGGATCATGACCTGAGCCGAAGGCAGACACTTAACAACTGAGCCATCCAGGTGCCCTTAAAAATCTTTTTTAATTTTTATTTTTACAGTTACATTCTATCCTTTCATTATATTTAATTTTATATTTGTATATATATGTTATATATATATAGGTTTCATATAAATATAGGTGTTTCTTTCTTTACAATTTTGGGATGCAGTTTCTTCTAACAAACAAAATACACCCAGAATCTACTGTATGGCTCTGTTCTCTTCACCTGTCTAATTATATTCTCTCTCTCTTTTCTTCTTCTTTTTTTGTTATGTTTTGTTAAACTTTTTAATTTTCATCTTTACAGTTACATTCTTTCCTTTAAATGTATTTAATTTTATTTTTGTATATATACACGTTTTTCT